TTTCGGTGTTCCAGACTATCAAGGTTGCAAGTGATGTTCATGTCTCCAATCAGGTGGATGTCTCTTTTTTGGATGGAATCTAGCAGCTTCAGGGTATGCTTAGGGGCGGAGCTCCATACATGAGAACAATACTCCAAAGAAGGTCTGATCTGAGCTTTATAAAGCATCAAAAGTTGCTGAGATATGTACAGTTTTCTGGTTGGGAACAGTGTTCCAAGCTTTTGAGAAGCAGCCTTTGCAATTCCAGCGACATGATCTTGCCAAGACATATTGGTGTCCATTTTAACCCCCAACAAAATTATCGAAGCACAAAGTGGAATTTGTTTATAGTTGTTACTAATTGTCTATTTATGTGTTTTTTTTTTGACCTACGGTATGTATTTATTTTGTACTTTCTTGCGATATTATCATGCCTACCTTTGTGATCAACTTTAGAATGTATTCATCTAATGTTTGTCATATATGATTACTATATTATTTACTGCATCTTCAATATAGTGAAAATAGTATTTTTTTATGATAACGAATAGTCATATTCTCAATTTCCTGCTAATATTATTAGTTGTCATGAAAATCGAGGCAACAGTCACTCACTCAGAGCATAAATTGGTCATTTTTGAAATTTTCAACCTAATTTTTGATTATATTCTTACGTGATTAAGCATCCAAAACAAAATCACTGCCTATCATCAATTACAACCAATAACAACCAGAAATGCAGAAGACTTTGTCAATATGTTCAGAAAATAAATGCGTTTTGAATTAGAACAATACTAAATTCGTTACATTCATTAACAAAATAAGATTAAAACTTTAAATGAATATCAAGATGAATGATATGGAAAAGTGCGACGTTAATATCCCTTCATCATAATGAACATTTATTGACACTCGATATTCAATAACAATGTTATGAAGTCTTGTAACACTGGAATGGCGGAGTCTGGAAGATGTCTGGCTGTCATGATGGAACACGTTCATGAAGTGACAAAATGGTTTAGACTTTCACGGCTGAGGTTTTCAGTGTCATTTCTTTTCGAGTTTGAAAGCCGTGGATTTTTGGAATTTCTTCCTGACATTTCGTTGGCGCGAGTGGCTAGCTTCTCCAGAGGTTTAAACATCATGGCTTGCTGTCCGATAACTACCTTTTCGGCTTCGTAAAGCGTATTTATGCCTTGTCTGGTAATCAGTTGTATTTGTACCTGCATTTGTACCTGTACTCGTTCCTGTACTTGAACTTGGAACATTAACAATCTTGCTGCCTGTTGTCCTGTTCGTTATTCTCGAATTCCTTAAAATGGGGTTCCATATTTGATTGAGGTGCACCGCTTCTTCTTTTCGGTTGAAATTCTCCCTGTGTTTGTGGATATCTATTGCCCCCCGTACCAGTCGGCTATGGTATCCCTGGTTGGGGGCAATTAGTTCTGTGTTTTCAAACAAAATTCTGTGGTCTCCTTCACTAAGTGCGTGTTCTGCCACAGCTGACTTGTCCGCTGTTTTTGGTATGAACTCACAACACCTGGTTCATGAACTTTACTATACTTCAGCAGATTCTCTATTAATACATCTTTTGTTTCTTCAGATTGTGGAAGGTTATAAACAAAAAAAACCGTATAAAAAAAATTGGAAGTTTTCATTCTCACTTTTCATAATAATCTTCTACCACGTAATAACGCCTACATTCATCAATTCATTAAATAGGTTTATGGTAATGATTTCTTTCAAAGCAATAGAATGATGAAAGAATTGAAGGCTAGGTCTCCCAAACCGGGTTTTAGACTGATTAAACGCTTCTTTGTAACAGCAATAAAGTTAACGGCGATATTATTGTCAGCTTCGACATTAACGTTGATTTGTCATGAATAGTTTGATTCTTACATGGATGCATTCAGCTGAGAAAATTTCAGAAAATAAAACCTAGGAATGCCACTATACCTAAACAACTATTTTTTTCAGATGAATGTCTCATTTTTTCAAACTCAAACTTTGTTATTTTTTAACAATACCAATCGATCAACCAGCGATATATAAAGCCACTCGTCCTGGGCTCGTGGTTTTATTATGCTGTTTGTTCTCATGGTATTGCTAAATTAAGTTTTTGTTGAACATCAAAATTTATCGATAAAATCTCGAGGTTTTGTATTACTTTCGATAATTCTGTAACATAATCTACATGCGAAATGTGTTGTCAAAACACTTTCAGATACAATCCATTAGGCAGTTGAGAGTTCAATGAATTTAAGACTTGCACATAATGTGGTTGAAACTCAAAAGAGCATTCAACATAACCGTGATGTTTCGTGTACTATTTCCTGTAACAGATGTTACTGCTCTTAATGTGGCGTTATGGTGATATTCTGGTTTTTTGTTTCTGAGATGGTGATAAAATTACTGGTTGTATTATGAAAAAGTTTTACTCTGGAACATGCAGTTTCAGGTTTCCTTGTATGTTTTCATATTCTAGTAAGTAAAACAACTTCTGTATACTGGTGGCCCCTATTTGCCCCAGATGACTCAATCATAACCCCTCTTATAGTAACAACTCTGAGTACCACGATGTCAGTGATCAACAATTAGATCGACCGCTTTCACTCAAAGCTTCTTCCTTCATTGATACTTACCTAAAATACCCACTCTGGATGAATACTTTTTCAGTTTTTGAATTATTCCGAAAACGTGTCTAGAACTGGCATCGATCACTCGATCTCCATTACAAAGGGAAGGAATAGGTAAATATTTACAACAAAGCTAATATTTTCCCCTGGCAAATGACGAGCTCTATCAACACCTTCATCGAAGCATTATGTAACCGCATAGCTAGAACTCTGCCTGTGATGTGACCAAAAACCACACAGGTCACAGAGAGAGCTCCAGAATGCAATTACAAAAGATGGTGTTAGTGGCATTAGTATAACGAAGCGAATGGAAAAAGCAATAGGCTACTTACAAATATGTACAAGTTAGCAACTTTTACAGATGAGAAGATAGATTAGAAAGCGTGTATCATTAGAATGATAAAATTACTGACGTCAAAATAACAGTGAGTTGATATTTGAAATGTCTCCTGATATGCCTAAAAAAAGTGCATAATTACATATTCTCAAACGCCAATTTGAATTAATCAAGGTGCAACTTGTAAAAACAACAAAAATTTTAGGCTTTTTCATACTGTTTTGAATAACTACAAATCCAACACAGCTTTGCAATCTAAAAACAAAGTGAACACCAGGTCGCAAACAGTACCTTAGGTGTTTCACCCTCAAATCTAATCCAATGCTGTTGATTAGGTTCAGAACTTGATAGGGAGTGTCTCAAGGTTGTGTTTTTGAACTCATTCTCTTCATGTTTGTTACCAAAACGATTACCCTCACTTCATTTGAAAGTCTTTGGAATAAATGTTCTCAAATTTTCACTCAAAAAAAAAAAACTATGAATCTTGTGATAATCCTGTTGGTAGTTAATAAAACACATATTGTTGAATTAGAATTTCAAATCAGACAGGCTATATGATAAACCACAACAATGAGTATAGATTAATTCCCCATATTTTTCATGAAAGCCACACTCCAACACATTTTTTATTCACCGTAGTTTTTGTTGTTAAATTGTATATATTGATCTTGGAAAAAAGTTATCCAATTCATTGAAACATATTGTTAACATCCTAACTTTAAATTCATAGCTTACTGCTGTTTAGAATTATCTGATTTACCACTCATACAATTTATCGTATTAACACTACATGTTTAGCAAGTAAGTAGCTCTTTAGTTAATCTTAAATATGAGTGACAAACAGAGATTCATAAAAAATATGGAAAGAGAAGTTTTCACATATAGTAAGAAGCATACTTGTAGACTGGCTGTAAATCAAATTATCTAAAAGAACAATTCGTTCAGGCCAGTCTCAATTCCCCTGGCTAATACCGCAACGGTCATTGTGGTATTAGACAGGTGCAGGATTCTTCACAGAAGCAATTTCTGCATATGCTGTTGGTGATACAACTGCCAGTTGTATCAGATACATTAGATATAATCCAACGCCCTTCGTCCTTGTTCTTTTAGATAATTTGAAAAAGAAGTTAATTTATTACACTTATGCAAAGAAAAGAGTTTTTTTTATAAATATGTCAAAATTGTCTACATTTCTTTTTTTCTCAAAATTTAAATATAGGATTAACAAAAGTTTTCTAATTTTCTTTAGTAATAATGCTAATGACAAAAAGTTAAGGGTAAACTTCTTGGTCCTAATAATGGCAGTTCCCCCCAAAAGGGGGTTGGATAAATGAGTCCTGTTTTCAAGATTTCAATATAGTTTTCAAGTGAAGTGTGTGATTAATCCTGAATGGGTAATATGGACGTGGAACGACAATAATACAATATTTTCACTATAATTTTGGATTGGAAATGAAACAATAACTAAATTTTGTAAAAAATGTCTGTATGTCTAAAACGAAAACAGATTCTTTGGAACATAAAATAAAACATCTTCTATACATTGACTGTGTGGCCTCTCCTAATAAGAACCAGCATCAATAATTCTATGGGTGCAGGGACCTACAACATGCAGTAATGAAAAGGGGAAATAAACAGGAATGTTAAATACATAAGTAAATTTGAAAGAATAAATAAAACATATCATTGATCTGCTTGAAATATTCTTTTCCTGCCTCTTTTTGTTGAAAAAATTTCACTCAAAATATATTTAATTGTTTTACAAGAATTACTTTTTCTGCAGACAAACAAATTATAATGCAATTTTTGTTTCTGACTGAAAACTATTTCACAAGGCCAGCAATTCGAATTATTTATTTATTGATAACTGCATATAACTAGTGTAAATGAGATCTAGGAGGACCAGCAGTTTGTTGATGCCTAAATATCATCATTGTTGGTCAAATCATTTGATCAAATATCATTCAAAAAAATCTAGTTCCACAAAAATACGTATTCTTTAAAACCCTACACCTGACTCCAAAAACAAAAAAAAACCAAGCACTCACCTAAGTTACTATGTTCAGTCTGTGTATTAAAATTAAAACGTCCAACCATTGGACCCAGTCCTTCACCTTCGTGAATGAGAGGCATCTCGGGCTTCACTGCCGCGGAGGGGTCTCCTCCGCTCGTATTGCCATTGGAGGTTAAGTAGCCCATGTTCAGTGGTGAGAGTTGCAACAAGTCCAGCTGGTTGCTTGCCGTGTTTTGCTGTTGGTGCTGATGTTGCTGAGGCGCTGAAGGTTGACCGCTGCCGAACGGCTCTTGTCGCGGATGGCTGTGTGACTGGCTCGTGCTTGGACCGGGATCGAAGGAGTCTTTAGAAAAGGACAAGCTTCGGCAAAACTGGAAAAATGCCGTGAATTAGTTGGTTTTAGTTAATGTGGTCATCCTTTGCAACATTTAAATATGTATGGGTTATCGAAAACAGACTGATCAAATCAAGTTCCGTATATCGTAGGGAAATAATGAAATTGATAAGAGGGGCGCCAAATGCCACACCAGTTTGAATTTCAAAACTATTATATATACAGAAAAAACATTAGGCGAATTCGAATGTTCCCAACAAAGCTCGAGTATAATCTAAAAAAAAGATCTTGTTTTATGTCAAATGAGCTAATTGAATGAATAAAAACAGAATATTTAACCTTTGAAACTATGAATTCAAATCTAAATGAACGATCAATCGTCAGGTTGTGGGTGTATAAATTTTATAACAGTAGACTGAGTAAGGCAATTTGAACAATCAGAATAATACAAGAGTCAAATCAAAATGCAGAGTTTATTATAACATACTACCATGCCAAAAAATTACCGGGAATTGGTCAACAAAACTCAAAATACATATTATTCTTCCAAATTTATTAGGTATATCGCTTTCAAAGTCGGCCCATTCCGAAATAGTACACTTTAGCCAACGAACAACCCAATCATCAAAACATTTCTTGAACGTAGTTTTCGAAATTGACATCACTAATCACAGTTATGTCATCCATCGACTGAAAATGGGTGCCTTAAAGGAGTAATTTGGAAACAGAAAAAGTCTGAAGGAATACGGTGGCTTAACGATGAGCAAAAGTCATGAGCTATAAGCTCTAGTGAATCTTATGAAACTTCCAAAAATTATAACTCTATATTCGGTTATTGTATTTCGAAACTTCATATACATTAAGGAAAACACAAAACATCGCAGACATACATACAGGTATTATTAAAATTACAGGAAACAAAAAATATCTTCTACGGAAATTAAATATTGTTGCTTTCGGGTAATTTTGTTCACTCAGTTGTTATTGTTAGTTAATTTCAATCACTTGGTATATTTAAATAATTTTTCATACAATGTTTATAAAAAACGAAATCAACACTGACAATATGTAATTTGAAAAGTTATAAAATGAAAAATATTGACTTGAAACGTTGGACCCCTGGTTTATTTCGCCTTTAAATCAGACGTATTAACACACAGTAGGCACTGACTAGTCCAAGCAGATAGATTGAAAGGAACTGAAAATTAGGTCTTGGGCAAACTTTTTTCTGCCATTTCAGTTTCGATGGTACTAGGCAAAAAATCAAAAGGCCATCAACAATACGTTTTGACTACAAAGTCTACCATATTAATGTGTTTTTTAAATTAGTAAACAAGGATAGAGATTTATTTGAAATGATTGCTTGAAGTAGAGATCTTAAACTATGATATCATGTCGTTTCAAGTAACACTTTGTCACTATACGACAGCTTTTTCAATCATATCCATTAAAAATGAAGCATACAGATCCCATGAGAAACCTACTTCTACAGTACATTTCCTTAATGCCCCCCTTTTATTTTTTAAATGGGTCAACTCAAAAAATTGAAATTTGAGATAATGAAATTAATGCATGAATACTTTATTTTGAAGTGAAATTGACAGATGAAACTTGCAAAATGGCGGCTGGGTGCCATCTGGGAAAAAAATTAAATGGAAAAGAGGATATTGTGACACCTCTTTTTCACAATCCTAGAATATAATGTCAATATCTTCAACTACTACAAAATGGCGGAACTTTTAATAATTGCCTGAATACATTGACATTAAATTACATAATATGAGGTAATAAGCTTGAGGTCAGTTCAGAAGATGCTCGAAATGATTGCCTTGAACTTCTTGACATATGAACAGCCTATCCAGTATTTCACGCCGAACATTTTCGAACACAGTAACGTCAATATCTCTAAAAATATTTATTATTCTCTGCCGTATATCCAATATTGAAGCAGGTTCAGTTTCGTACACCTTTTGTTTCAAAAAGCCCCATAAAAAAAAGTCCAAAGGTGTCAAATCTGGCGAGCGGGCTGGCCATTCTGTAGGACCTCGACGGCCAATTCAACGACCAGGAAAAGTAGTATACAAATAGTTACTTACTTGTCTGGAGTAATATAGTGGTTATCCATCTTGTTGGAATACAATATCCATATCTAATTCATTAGGATTCGCTTCGACGATTTCAGTGATGAGAGGGTCAACAGTAGTTTCCAGCATATTCAAATAAAGTTCCCCTGTTGAATTTTGATCAATAAATAGAGATCCTACAAAATGGTTTCCCAGTATTCCTGCCCAAACGTTAATTTTTTCTAGATATTGGGTATGTGATTCCCGAAAAACGTGAGGGTTGGTGTCATTCCAATAACGGCAATTTTGTCTGTGAACATTGCCCTTTGAAAAAATGTGCATTCACCACTGAAACAATTATTGTGGAAATAGGTAGGATGCCTTGCAATGGTTTCCGTCATGATTTCGCAGAATTCTGTTCTTTGATCAGGGTCACCTTCAGTTAATTGGTGTACCATTTTAACTTTGTATGGATGATACCTATTTCACTTCAAAAGTCACCACACAGTAGAAGGAGACACCTCACAAACATTGCGACGGAATAAGTAGACTACCATCTAACCAATTATTTGCACTTGCTGTTCTTCCGGAACGGATGACTTGGGAGCTTTTTGTTATGTACACTACCGATAGTTGTGAATTTGGATACAAGTTCCCTCAAATATTTTCTACATATAGGACGATTCGGAAAACGTTCATTAAAAATCCTTTCGGTCTCGTGAAAGTTACGCGTCGCACCGTAAATAAAAACCGCTTAAATTTTTTCTTCCAATCGACCAAAATGAACCATTTTAGAGATTGTTGATGTGGTACCTTTCTACTAGTAAAACCGAAAACTAAATGAGAACATTCTAACTGAACAATGACGTTCATTGTCATACTGACATTTTTTGTCGTTTTTATAAACAAAAAGTAACTTAACAAACCCTATTAGGTTATTGGAATTGCCATATGACAGATAAAAAGGAATATTTCTAGAAATATCGATATTAATGTGTTTGTCTTCAGGAAATTATTGAATCTTCTGCCATTTTGTAGTAGGTGGAGATATTGACTTCATATTCTAGGGTTGTGAAGTACTCATCCGGATCTTCAAAAAGATGTGTCACAAGACCCCCCTTTCCTTCAATTTTTTTCCAGATGGCGCCCCAGTCGCCATATTGAAAGTTTCATCTGTCAATTTCACTTCAAAATAAAGTATTCATGCATTAATTTCATTTTCCCAAATTTCAATTTTTTTGAGTTGACCCGTTCAAAAAATAAAGGGGGGGACATTAAAGAAATGCACTGTATATATTTTTCATAGAACGCCGTTTTAGAACATTGGAAGGACTAAAGAGAAACTTCGACAACACAAAGACTTTCACACGGAAATGGCCCGCGAGCTTCATCCACACCCCCCATATATTATTCTATCAAATCTGCCACTTGACAAATAAACAACCCATCACGTTGGCATCTGGAAGATAAAATTAAACGACGCGACAGCACTTGTCTAGAATAGTTCAGTTGTCATCGCCGGTGCATTAGTTGCCTACCGCTGAACATCATGTTGGTACTGATGCACTTGTGTTTGATTTAGAGGCACAAATACTAGGAAATGCTGGTGTATGCAATGCCAGAGCTGGTGACATGTACTTGCAGTAGTTCGGGCAGGATGTGCCACTCGCAACTGTTACAGTCATTTTCAAGCAATGGGAAAATTAAAAGTTATAGTTCAAGTAAACGATATAGTGCCTCCTACCTTCCAGCAGTTCCCTTTTAATAAAATAGTTAGGGAGCTAACTAATTTTGTTATTCAATAATCATTTCTGATTATATAACAATACATATATACATATATAAAATCTAGAAAGGTTAATGTAGTCAAGCTGCTGAAAAATAATTCCATGAAAATCAAAAAATAAATAGATAAGTACTTTTTGATAATTCCCATATTCATATTGGTGGTTCCACTTATGTTTCGCTTGCGTTTACGCAGCTATTTTTATCAAGTACTTTCTTGGTTTTTCTCATTTTGTCTTCAATCGAGGACCGCCTGCCCGGTACTGACGATGCCCAGTAGGCTGAAACAGCTGTCTACCGGTGGCTCTTAAATTGAAATCAATATGGGAATGATCAAAAAGTACTTATCTATTTATTTATTTAAATATTTCAATATTTCGTTTATATAGACGAGTGGGAAAGTAGGGATTCAAATAACAGAGTGATGATTGAAAATACTTCTGAATACTTCTTACTCGCACTTGAATAGGTGTGAACCACAATAAACCCTCACGGGTTCCGGTGGAGGGTCGAATAGACCCACTCACATATATATATAATAAATTTCAGCGACTGTGAGTAGTTATGTTTTTTTGGTTTCGTGGGTTCAGCAGTCAAATAATGTGAAAAAACTTTCGAAAAAACGGTTTTTATTTACAATATTTGACAAGCTTTCGCTTTATTTTAAAGCTTCTTCAGGGCTATCTAAAACACGATTTGGTTTAATTTTAAGAGATAAAATCTCTATTTGTATTTATATCCTGGACCCGGATGTCACGCAGGTAGCTATAGCTGCCTACGTGGTCATGTAAGATGCAGCCTGGGAATTCTAGGTCTTCTAACTGGAACCACAAATTATCGCTTCAAAAACACTTCACTAACTTTCTTCGAATGCTTCTGATAATTCCTCTTCCATATTCTCCGTTTCACTGTCACTGTCATTTCACTATCACCATTGATATGGAAGTGTCCAATCTCCATATAGTCTTTTTCAACTAAAATAACTTTTATAATCCTTTTCTGCCAGTCTTCTTCGGTAATATTAGATACTTCTTCTTTAACTAGCTCTATCAAATTATCAAATTTTGGAAAATAATTTTTACCCCTGATGCTTTGTTTCAATTTTCCTCAAATCAACTCGATGGGATTGAAAACCCAAAAATAGGGGGGAAGTCTCAATATGATGTGTCCATACTTTTCAGCAGTACTCTCAAGGGCATACACTTTTTCAAATGTTTTTGTCTGTAAAACTTTAAGTAGTTGGTTTTTGGTATAGTTATCTTCAAAATACAAATTGTTATCCATCAAAAAACTTGGTATTTCATCTTTCCTCGAATTTTTATTCGGTACTTTGATGAGCTGCCGCGAATGATAGGAATCGTTGTCAAGAACTATTAGACTATTCGCATCCAAATTTGGGATCAATCTGTTTTCAAACCAATCCTCAAAAATATTAGCTTCCATGTTCTTATGATAGTCAACATTGCAGTCCTCAAGTTTTTCCCACATAATTTCAAAGAATTCAGAACCCATCCTTTACTTCCTCCGCAATGCACAATGATTAGTCGCAATCCTTTTTTTGCAGACATATTAGGCGTACACTTTCTCGAACCATCAGTCCACCCTTTCGTAACTGTGTCGTGAGTGTCATACCAAGTTCCGTCCAAATAGAAAATTTGCCGTTGTTCTTGTCTATATGTAGTTATCTGTTCTAAGTATTTGTTACGCAATTCCACTATTCTTAAGCTTTCCATAACTGCTTGACGTTTGTTTATTATTTTAAATCTAAATCCTAATTTCTTTATCCAATTCTCAAGAGTTTTATCACGTTATGGCCGGAAGTATTCAATTTCTTCTTTATGATTTCAATTCTAGGAATCTCATTGCTTTTGTAACAGTCGTATATTGTTTTTTTAATGATTTTATTAGATACCTACACATCTGAAGGTTTTGGTAATCCCGCATCAAATCGCGTCTTGCGTTCATAAGGATTGTTTTTGACTATTTTACGTACAGTTGAGAAAGGAATTTCGGTCAAATCTGATGTTGCTTGTAATAGTTTTTTCCTTCGAAACCAAACTTGATATGTAGATTCTTATATACATATTCAAATGCATTCATGCATACATGCATGCATACATACAATATTCAAATGCATCTGAATCTTATTCACTGGTATCTCTTTTTCGCATTGTTCACCAGCGCTATTGGAATCACTACCCAGGAAAAAGTCTGCGTTGTTATCACACTCGTTATTACTATTAGTACTTGTTCAAGGACGCCACATTTTAAACAAATAACAAAAATTTTAAGTAATTATAACTTTACCAATATCGAATTTCAACACTCAATTCCTGAACTGAACATTGAAAACACGACTCTTCTAACCATCCTCACATTATATTGGTCACCGTAACATGACTTCAAATCTAATTTTATGACTCTTCAGTCAATCATAAAACTCGGTTAGTAAAAATTATCCAATACGAACCGCCAATTCTTCAGTCCACGTGGACTAATTCGTAGCGGCATTATTCTTTTGTATTGGTTTTTTGGCCTTTGAGTTCGCCGATAGCTTTAAGATTACTATATCGGTTACTTCGACTATACTCAAGCGTAAATTTGAGGAATCTATTGTATAGCGAAACACGTGTCGCGGCTTTTGTAAAACCGTTTATAGTAAAAACTATACAATGAGCTGTAATAATTAGTCTTAATATAGATTTTCATCAAGTATCGGCCAGCTCTATTCAATGATTTTGTGATTACTTAACTAAAACTTAATCGAATGAAGGATCAAGAATAATTTCCAGAAAATCGTTTTCTACAATCGTCCCTGTAAATTAAATCAATCTCGAATATGGCACGCGGTAAATTGAGGTAATTGTGCAGTGATCTAACGCATCTAACGGAGTAAAAAATCCAACCGAAAATTAACAAGCCACACCCACATAGGAGTGGTTGACTTTGATGACGACTGCTCTTCCGAAACAAACTGAAAAATTTCGAATTATGACACAGAAAAAAAAAAGAAGCTTGTGTAACATTTTGAGGTGAGCAGAACCGTTGAATAGAAAAACTGATTGACGTGGAATAAGTTGATAGTTTTTACTATCTTTGGCCGATTTTAATTGGATAATGATATTTGATAAGAGCTATGTATGTACTGATTACTTATGTATGAACTTATCAATAAAACCAATTATTACTATTATTATTCACGTGGTTTTTCATGAAAAATCGTTACCATCAATTACTTGAATACCTTCAAACTTCATACATATTTCGTTGTAGTCGAGTATTCATTTGTTTTTCTGATGCTTAAGGACAAAAAACAAGCACTACAGGAACATCTTTAAGGCATTCTAAAAGCGTTGCCTGTGCGACAATAGCGATTCCACATAAATGCAGTTCTCCGGATGAAAAAGTGAAATTCGAGGTATTCTGAGTTGAACCTCAAAACGATGAACAGCCACAGTACGTCGCGTATTTCTGATATGTTCCGCTCTTGTCAAATGTGCCAAGATACTTGAACACTTCCCTTGAAAGTATCTATAGAAGAGAGACAAATCTCCAACCCTTTTTCGATGGTCCAGGCTATCAAGGAAGTTGATGGATGGAATCCAGCAACTTCACCTGACCGTAGGTCAGGTGTTTATATCTCTTTTATTAAGGGTGAATACGGCGGTGTATAGGGCTGTTGCGCTTGATATTTCTAAGGCCTTTCCCGGTGTGTGACATGAGGGTTTGTTTGCCAATCTTCAATGCTATGGCAAAGTAAAAATCAACCAGTAAGTCAACTCCCACTACTTTCATTCATAAATTCACAAAGTGAAACGAAATGTCGAGCCAATTTCGTTCTTTTACCATAGACGTGCGCTCATATAAAAACAAAATGTAAGGATATTATAGAAGATTTAATAGTAAGTTACTTATTCCGTACTACAAAAACTAAAAACAATAATGACAACAGCTAATAAAATAAAAACAATATCAATTTTCGACCGTTTGTTGTAACTAATCCGATGCCCGTGGTACCGTCGAATCCTTCGATACTACAGCACTGAACGCGTCCCCGGCAACTCGGGCGGATCACGTGGTAAGAGCGCCTACTGGTTATATTATTCTACTGTGGCTACTGCTTGGCGTTCTCTGCAAGTGGCCGTTGATGGATATCTCTCGAATTCTTTCAACAACAACGCTGGTGTTACCCAGGGATCCATATTGTCTCCAACCCTCCTTTTATTGTATATCACCGACTTATTGGAAGAAAACAAGAATCCACTTTGTTGACGACAGCACGATTGTCTCGTCATTCCATTTGGATTCTAGGACATCGGCTACGGATGCACATCTTTATCGGCAGCAGGAGGTTGCATATCTCAATGAGGATCTAGAAGTGATTTTGAATTGGGGTGAAAGTAACCAGGTTCAATTCAATGTCACAAAAACCCAGGCATCGATATTCTCCAAAAAGGTAAATATCTCCGAACCGAACTGTTTAAGAACTCTTCCTGAGATCGTTTTTCCAAATGAATTTAATCTCCAGCTATTCTAATCCAATGTGAATCGCTACTTTCGCACAGGCACTGCTCTTGAAGCGCCTTGAGGATTTTTCTCTAGTGCTTGTGTTTTGTTCTTAAAAAAAAGTATGAACTGTCAGGTAGACAGATCTCGGAAGTGGAATGTAAGGGTTGAAAATTATGATCTTCAAACTTTTTTCCGTTCAAAATTAATGATTAACAATTTCATATCCTGTGTGAATCGATATACATAAGATAATTGAATTCTCAACACATTTCGAGAGGGTTTCATTATGGAAAGTTTCAGTTCCAAATTGTATTGAAAAAAAAAAATACAAAAATGTTTTCTGCGTTTCCATTTCAAAGGTTAATGAAAAACTACTTCGAAAGGATAAACAGAACTTTAATCTCTCAGCATTAATACACAGGAAGAGACATTGAAAAGATCTATTCTGCATGGGAATACTGAGTTCATTTCAAGACCAAGTTTCATTATTCTTGTAGAATTCGAGATGTCGATATTGAAAGATAAGTAGGTATCTTGAAAGAAGGATTGGAATCTAGTGAGAAGGATTCAGGTCTTGCAAAAAGTATCAGATTTCGATCCTTCGAAAGAATGTCGAAATCTTTTGAGAAGTTGATTCATTGAAAGTTGAAGCCCTGAAAAAAGTAAGGAACGTCAGAACAATGGCGCAAGATCTTTAAAAAAGTTAAAAATCTGAAAAATTCTTGGAAAAAGTCGAAGCTTTGGAAGAAGTGAGTCTAGAAAAAAATCGAAATTCTTGAAAAAATGTCAAAGTGCTAAGAAACCTTTTTAATGTATGTAGAAAACGGTCGTTTGTGAAAACAATTCGACGTATGTAATAAAAGATCGACGTATGTAATAAAAGGTCGACCTATATGGGAAAAGGTCGACGTATACAAAAAAAAAGGTCGACGTATGTCGAAAAAGTCGACGTTTGTCGAGAAAAAAAATGTCGGTCTACGGAAAAAGGTCGACGCATACGGAAAAAAGGTTGTATACGGAAAACAATCGACGTATGCCTGAAAAAAGGATCGATATCTGTTTAACAATTTTGACATTAGTAGAGAACTATGAACTTATATAGGAGAAGTAGGCAATACTATTCAAATGTAGCTCAGTTCTGAGAAATAAGGTTGAGAACTGGAACAAATATAAAGTTCCGAAAAAAAAACCGTAAATATACTGTCAAAACTCACCTGTGATGAAATAGGTTTATGCGTTGGACTATCCAACTGAGGCACTGGCGGGGTGGTGAGGTCGAAGAGCCCGGGGCTCAGCTTGATGTCCCTAAGGAGCAGGTCCATCGGCGGCACCGGTTTCGGCTTGACGGGCGGCGGGTTCTCCGGACACAGGAATACCTCAATCTCGCCCGCTTCGCTCCTCATCTGGATGTTGTACTTCGTCTCCTGGTGCTCGTCGGCGGGGACGGACAGCTGCGTGTTGGGGGGGGCCTTGATTGCCATCACCGTTTTCTGTTTGAAGCCACTTATCGACCTCAAGTCTTGGTATGTCACGTAACCGTACCTGCGTGAAGACCACGATCAGAGGCGGTGATAAAATGACCTGAAGACGGTATATTAGCCACGGTCGGGATCGCCGCGGCGGTTGAAATCCCGTATGACAGTGTCTTAGCCACGGCCGAAAACGAGAATTAAGATTCCGGATAACAGAAGCTTAACCATAGGCGATGTCTGTGGTAATTCTTCAACCCCATTCGAAAGCCAGAAAAATTGTAAATACGTTAGTTTGAAGTGTGAAAATTCAATGAGATAAACACTGATATTCCTAACCTAAGTTATTGCATGGATTTGATAAAACACTGATGATGCCACCTATATATACGCTTAAAGGAATTTTCCCTTTTCAATGCAATATAATTCTATAGCAAATCACAAATATTATTATCAATTGAAACTCAAGAAAGGAATTCAAAGAATTTTGTAAAGATTTTTTAAATAATTGATAATAGCATTCAACTCAAGTTCAATACAGTTTCATACAGAATTAATAATAACTTTATTTTATCAAACAATGAGAAAAACTAAAAATTATGAAGAAAACTCTTGTCAAACTCTTCGTTCTCCTAATCCAGAACTGAAAAACTCGTCAAGTCCTGAAAAGTTTTAGGGAAGCCGAATGAATCCCTCTTTGTGTAATGTCGGTGATATACAAAAAACTATTTTTCTCACGTTGAAGCTCCGACGCCTTGAAAAATTTGAGCAATCATAGGATTCACACATTCTTGTAACTATCTCAGATTTTCCATGTTGCAAAAAAATTACCCTGACATTTCGATGTTTTAATGAAAAGGTTTCTGGACGAATGCTTTCTCAAGCATTGAATCAGCAAAGCAGTCTAATGGGGTAGCCAGCTCTATCACCTGATTTTTCACCAATGCATTTATTTTCAAGATGCCTACGTCAGAAATGTTTTGCTACCACTCCTGCCATTCCTTAAGACAGATAATGTTTAGGAATAGCCGATTTCTCATCTTGGAAACAGATGTTGACTAAAACCGTTCATATATTGCTGAAAATATTTCAAATAATTATCATTCTGCAACTTTTGCTTAAAAAATCGATGCATTTGCCTTTTTATTCATAATGATATGATATATACGCCGAATGATTGAGAAACTGATTTCTTCGACAAAAATTATTGAATCTTTTCTCAGAAAATTCCATAATAAACCAAAAAGTAGGGCCTTATTTAATCTTACCACTAATACTTTCTGAGATATCTTCAAAATTATTTTACGGCTTGCTTCTTGTGGTGAAGTAAAAATCCAGCAAGTTTTATCAGTAAATTGTACTTCTCTACTGTCTAATAGTCCTGATTTCTATATTCAATACAATGGTGTCAGGTGTGGGGTAACATTTTTCCCGTTCCACCAAATTCGTGTCTAACCGCAAAGTTTGTTGTTTTGAATGAATCTTCAAAAATGAATTGTGAAATACCTAAGTATCATCGCACTGTAATTCCAAACGATCTTTGCGCCCCTTCATCAGTCTAGAAGTGTATACATACAGTCACAGACGAAGAGAAAATTTCAACCTGCCTGAGAGATGCGACCTTATTTCAGGCGTGATTAAACGCCATCGATTTATCTGAAGAGATAAACCAACCTTGCATATGAATCAATAAAAATATTCTCAAGTAACCAAGCGACTTTGGAAGCACCTAGCTCTCATGAGCGTTCAAGTCGGTAGTGGATTGCCAATAGTGAGACTTGAAACATTGTCTCTGGTCTGTATTCATGGCAACACTGACCTGAAAGGCAATATAACTGCTTAGAGGATACTGCAACCAGAATCAGAACCAAACTCCGCCATTGGCATCGCTTTGAGTTTTCGAAAACACTGAATACATGAACTGCAAAAAAGAGATCGCACTTCTGGAAAAATCCAGATCATATTCGTCTGAATCATCATACGAATAGACACGGAATCTCGAAAGATCCAGCATACCCTGTTTATTTGGAAGACGATGAACTGGGTTGAATAGAGCCAGTCGCTTTGTACCTACCTATCTACATATCTATCTCGAAAAATTTAGTAAGGTAACTTACCTTGCGTCGACCAACATACCTATCGTTATTCAACTTCCTCAACTCGCTCTCCGCCGAACTTATTAACCTATCCAACGTATTCTCTACATTATCCAAATTCTGCATGTGCTTGGTCAGCGCTGCGAAGTTGCTATTCTCGCTTTGGCCCCCTTTCCACTGGATATTGTTCTTCGACTTCTTCTCTAGGATGCCGATGCCCTCCAGTACGTTCGTGATATCGTATATCCTCCTCTTCTGCACGTTCAGCTCTTGCGAGGCCCTGTTCAGGTCTACCACGCCATTGGGCGACTTCTCCAGCAGCTCGGAGAACTTCTTCGTCAGCAGACTGAGAGACGTGTCGTACCTGGTGTTCTTCTTCACGGGCGTTTGCCTCCGCGGCTTCTTCGGCTGTGGAGGCTTGAACTCGTGGTTCATGGGCACTACAGCCGGAACGACGAAGTGCTGCGACTCCAGGTTTAGCTTCCGTTTCACGGGAGGGGCTTGAACTGGAATAGTGGATGATATCATCTGGTTCACCGGTGTGGCCCCGTAGCCGTGGTCCAAGAGGTGCGGACTGGGGGTGAACTCCGATTTCATCTCGCTCTTGACGATAGTCATGTCGGGGGTGGAGTTCGACGGGAGAGGCTTGTAACTCCTCGGACTATCGGAAGCTCGGCGGATCGTGCGAGGCATCTTGCTTGGTGTTTTTTTTTCTGATTTCACGTGATTATTTTCGTTTCATTTTTGCGCTGGGGCATTATTTGAGGTCGTTTCATTAAAATTTGTTTCTAAAATCTGAAAAGAGAGAAAAATACTTCAGATGATGTATCCGATTTCAATAAATATCCAAAATACGAACAGGAAAGATGCATTTCTATAAATGTACTTGCACTCTTATCACTAACATTACATACTAATTCTTTACTTTCGCTATTCAATAGCTTCCTCGAGCAGCTTGTTGAGGAACACAAAAGATTAATATTTTTTTGTCGATGACTCTCCTATTTATTGAAACGTGAATAATTCCCTTCTTTTGGAAGAACATTTTTGGAGACAGTAACAAAAACTGGCCTGTTCCGTTGGGATCTTTTTATACATTCAAACAGACTGTCTTTCAATAACTTTACAAGTATTTTTGCTATTATAGAGACTTAAGTAATAGGACTATAATTGGTTTCAAAATAGGTTTATTATTTACGACATTTACCAATTTGAGACAGTAACCTATTCCAATACATTTGTTTACTATAACAGATAGGGTTTAAGTAACATGGTGCAACATTCCTGCAGCTAATGTATTTATTATCTACTCATAAGTTTTTTTCAGATTTTGAAATTCGATTCATTCACAATACAAACTTGAAGCTTCGATCTGGAAAAACCGACATATATATTCTGCTTTTATATTACTAGCGGTCCGCCCGGCTCTGCACGGGTGCAATACTGATACTGAATTTAAATTCCCCCACCGGAAATTTAAGAGCATGGAGAAACAAAAAGATAATTTTGTTTTATGGACGCTCCTTTTTCCCCCGCTTCTGGCGCCCCAGTTGAAATATTTAAAAAAAAATATTCCTCTCAGCCTCCGAAATTATACCGGCATGGAGAAACGGTGATGAAAAGGTAACTTTATTTTATGAATACACCTTTTTTCCCTGCGGCTGGCGCCCCAGTTGGAATATTTAAAAATCCTTTCTTATTTCTCATCTACAACATAAAACGAACCTAACAAATTAAATAATTAACTGTCTTAAATTAATTTATTTCCAACAATATTTCACTAATCACAAACTAATTTATTTACAACACTTAGCAACTAACGCTTAATTTATTTCCACTATTTGAATTTCTTGTTTAGCCGCTCGATTCACTTTCTGAACTGCCCTCTTGGGTCGGGAAGCCGGGCTTATATAATGTAACGGTTCTTTCTAGAAATCTGTAGTCCGTTCGGTACTCAACTAGAGTTTTACCGGCGGTTGCCGACTGCATTATTTCGCGGTGATGTCATGTGTTTGTTACATGATTCAGCCGGCATACTTGTTAGGGGTGGCTTCAGATTCGTCACCAACTGGAGAGCCCCCCTACGGGTGGGAGGTCACCCCACAGCACGGCAAGGCCCGTCCCGTCAAAATACGGATAGGATTGAAACAATGAAAATGAATGGACAACCGCCCACTAGTCCGGTATGGCAAAGCCAAGAGCGTCCGCTCTCCGATCCTGTCCGGCAAATGACGATACGTGCTGTGACGGACTGGCCAAGTGAGCGCGTCGCCGGCCAGCGCCTGCCAGCATCAACTTGTCCAAACGTACCTGGGAAGTTTCTGTCTCTCTGTTTTGCTATTATATCAGTTGACAGCACGGCGTCAGACGGTACCTACGACGAGGAAAATTTGAGTTGCTTGTTAAGGCTGGCTTTAGAATATCCAGAAGTTCTGAAAATTTACCTAGAGTCATTCGGAAATACTGGAAAATTTTCTCCCCGTCTTCTTTCAGGTCGTTGAAAAAATGATGAAACTCTCCCAAATTTGCCCTCTTTTGATTAATGAGTTGGGCCCACATCCTTCTTTTTTGTGACTATTTTCTTCTAGATTCAATAATGCGGCCACTAGTATGACGACTTCTTTGTCAGAACTGCTAGTGATAGGCACCGCTCGATGTCAACGGAAATTCCCTTGAAATCGAACAAACAACACCTTCAGTATTATGGTTGTAGCTGAACAAGTGGGTGAGATATCGTGGTTCCCTACGCTCCGGGGGTTATCATATACGGAATTTCGGAACTATTCATTCCTCACCCTCAGGTTCATATAAGCTAATAAGCCTGATGTAGTTCCTTTCGACCATTAGAGCAAAACGATATTCGTAGTCAAGTTTTTAGTTATGTTGAAATGTTTTTTCTGATTATTGGAACCCTTGACGAAATGATGCCCTTCCTACTCTCGAATCTCAAGATCATGCCGGCTGGCTGCACCGTGACAGAAACATTGGCTGAATAAAAGCAGAAAACTTTCATTCGTGGCTTATTGCATATGATTTTCGGTCCCAATGATCACTTACTCCACGGTGTGGGGAGTAGTCATTGGTTAATAATGCTGGCGTATCCCGAATGTGCCAGGGCTTCGAGGACAGGGTCAGACCAGCTCAACCTTCGGGGAAAATATTAATTATAATAATATGAAGGTTTTTTGAGAAACAAAAAAAGTACAAAAAATGAGAGAAATAGTTACAGGAGTTCCTGATACTGACGAAGTCTAGGTAGTTAAGAGCTGCTCTTGAGGACCCTGGTGGGAGGCATACCCATCACAAACGATGCGTGGAATGGCGGGAGAATTGAGCGTCAGCTCCCATGCGGTTTTCGATGGTTTAAAACGTATCGGAAAAATAGGAATGCTCGAAATGTGGGTGACCCACGATTTGAACGATCGACAGAAATTGTCACGTTTCGAGGTCTCTTCTTCTCTGCTTTGACGTAACCAAAACGATCCTTTTTTTTACCGGATTGTCACGTGAGATAAAAAGTGTATCCTCTACGCCAACATGAGACGTTCAGGACACTCGTTGGACACCGATGAGCAAACCAGGCACTTGCCAAAGGCGAAAACCCACCAAAAAATACCATGGCTACTGTATGGTGGTCAACGGCTGATGTGATCCACTATAATTTTCTGCAACCGAGTCAGTCCTCTACAGCAATGTCCTTTTGTGGGGAAATCGACGAAATGTACCGTCAGCAACAGCCAGCACTGGTCAAGAGAAGAGGTCTGATCCTGCTCCACGACAACGGCCGTCTGCACGTTTCACAAATCACCTGTACTGCTTCATCCACCATACTCCCCAAACCTCTCACCAAACGGATACCACCTTTTCAAGCACTTCGATAACTTTCTCACCGGCAGAACCTTTGCTAATCAAGACCAGGCAAAAACGGCATTCGTCGACTTCATCGAATCCCCAGCACATAAGTTTTATTCTGACGGAATTAATCGACTCGTGTTACGTTGGCAAAAGTGAACTGATTCAAATGGCGGGAGCTGAGAAAGTTATTTTATAGTGAAACATATGTTTCGATTTTGTAAACCGTTCAGTGAAAATATCACAATAAAGTGTTATTTGAATCACATAGCCACGGTGGGACAATTGGCAACACCTCGCGCCCGTGAATGGGGCTCCCAAATTATCAAATGAAGAACTAGCAAATATTTTTCAGGTAATTTGAATATTTCAAAGAAAATCCCTGAGAGCCAGATTCGCAGAGAAAGGAACAAAAAATAATGTGCTACCTGAAACGTTTTCGCTAATCAACTGGGCTAAATCATCTCCTAGGCACAGCTCTGCAACACTCAAATTTGCAATTATAAAGTTTTTTTATTTCCGGTGATGAAATGAATCGTATAGATATTACCAAAATTCTTTTCAAATTCTCAATTCCAAGTTTCATTGTTGAAAAACAGCTACTCATAAATTAGGTGCAACGCAACTTCAATCAAACCAGTTGCTTTATATATAAGTACCCTTTTGTTTAGCTGAAAATGGTGAAAAAGCGATACTTTCGCCGAGACTAAAATACATAGTTTGGTTATCGAGCCAGTCATACAAGTAAAATTATTTCTGTATTTTCTTGGTACAGTTATTTGGTAGTTGTTTCGCATATTTTTCAAGGCATGAAAAAATCACAAATTGTTCGAATTTGACATTTTTCTGAAGACACTTTGACTAATTCTGTTGTAATAAAAAAATTTTTAGAGCCACTGAACTTCATCTACAACATTCATAATTTGACCATTTCATTTCCATTATAATATCATTAACAGACAACAATTTCATGAAAAGCTAAAGAGATCATGAATGCTCAAATGGTTTTGGCAACATTATACGAAGGGGGACCCAAAAAAACGGGAATTTCGTCATAACTTCTTTACTTCTCAATATTTTAACACCAAATTTCGATCACCTTCAAAGTATTCGCCATAGACCACAACGCACTTCTTCAAACTATTCTTCCATTGTCCAAAACAGTTTTTAACTTCACTCATCGGGATGTCCTTTAAGCCATCCAGCGATTTGTGTTTTACCTCTTCCACAGTGCCAAAACGGGACAGCTGGTTAACGGAAAAATAGATTTTAAACAGACAGATATTTCTTTTGAGTCTGGGGAACAAAAATAAGTCACAGGGGGCTAGATCCGGTGAGTATGGGGGTGGACAATCGGTGTCATGACGTTTTTGGTCAAAAATTGCTTCACAGAAAGGGCGGTGTGTGCTGGTGCGTTGTCATGTTGGAAAAACCAGTCCTCTGTGCGCCCAAGATCTGCCCTTTTCTTCCGGATGCCCTGCGAGGGCATTGATTTTGTCGACGTTTTCATCAGTTCTTGACGTTGAGGGGCGTCCTGAATGAAGTTGGTCTTCAATAGACATTTCTCCATTTTTAAAACGTGAAAACCAATCGTAAACTCTGGTTTTACTTAAGGCAGCATCCCCATAAGTAGTCTTAAACATTACAATAGTTTTCGCGGCCGATTTCCTCAACAGGAAACAAAATTTCACAGTCGCGCGTTGTTCTCGACAATCTGCCATTACGTTTTCGCCGAAATGTAAAAAGTTGTTTTACTAAAAAAAAATCTCACAGGCGAACCGATGCACTCACAGCGACACAACTTTGCGCACTGACGCAGGTGGCGTGACACTAACGGACATGTGGTCAAACAATAGGTTCCCCCACCCTTCCTCCCCACCACAGAGTAATTCCTGTTTTTTTTTGGGTCCCCCTTCGTATATATCAGAAGCGTATCCAATTAA